AACCGAACTGAAAAAAAGGAATAGGCGCATACGGCTGCGAAGACATTACTCTTTATCATTTCCACGAAATTGCTTACTTTTTAAGATCATTCGTGAAAATGATGACTTGACCACCGTTTTGAGCGAGATTCTGGCACAATGCATATTATACCGTATAATTTCGATTTTCAGTAGGCAAGTAACATTTACTAAATTTCTGGTGATATAGACCTTTTTACAAGACGATTTTCCATAGCAACGAATGTTGTATTTCGCGCATGCGCATTCTGCGTAGGGCAAAACTTTAAGGCTTTAATAGATGCGATTTCATGTTATGTAACCCTAAAAAAATATTAATTTTGGGATGACTTAAGGTGGTAAGTACTGAAAACGTGAATTTATTTTTTTAACAGATCTACGAAAATGTGCGGGAGTAATAATTCAATGGTCAAAACGGGCACACACATGTCTTTGTTTAAGGTATCATTAGACGACTTTTTCATCAGTAATTTAAATTGAAACAGCAGGGTGCTAAAGATAAAATTTTATTACCCCTGTATTACATAATATATCACAATTTGTATTGTACACTTCCTTTGAATAACTGGATTGGTCAGGCGGCAAGTGTCAAACAGATCTATAATTATTGTTATGTTGTTATTTACACATGTACAAATATTCTAAATAAAATATGTTTAAACCAAACAGATTGGCACGCGAACGTGTGTTCATTCAACCGGGACGTTTAAATATCATGATATAGTTAATCAGTTACGCTTATTAAAATGGTAATTTATGTAACTTTTAAATAATACCGATCAATGTTTATGGATTTTGAGAAGAGATATTGTGTGACGTGCATTATTAAAAATAACATGTATTACGAAGAAGCGGATAAAATGTGTGTTATATCTTTTCCAAACAACCCATCTTAACTTCTCAAGATTTTGTTATGTTGTTATTTACACATGTACAAATATTCTAAATAAAATATGTTAAAACCAAACAGATTGGCACGCGAACGTTTGTTCATTCAACCGGGACGTTTAAATATCATGATATAGTTAATCAGTTACGCGGTAATTTATGTAACTTTTAGATAATACCGATCAATGTTTATGGATTTTGAGAAGAGAAAAATTGTGTGACGTGCATTATTAAAAATAACATGTATTACGAAGAAGCGGATAAAATGTGTGTTATATCTTTTCCAAACAACCCATCTTAACTTCTCAAGATTTTGAAAAAAAAAAAAAATTTAAATCTATTCATGTGACTTAAATTTTTCTGTTTGCATCACAGGCACTGTTTGCATCACAGGCAAACCGGATAAAGGATATAATCAGGTATATATTGAACACTAAAATGCATTATCACCTGTTCTGATATTTTTTCTGAATGATAATTAATCTCGATTTAATTCATGTTATATAATTTCTATTGTTTTAAATGAACTATTTCAAAAGCAAATAAGTTGACTTTTCATTTGCTAATAGATATATTTCCACATCTTCTTTAAAAAATGATCTCAGTGTCAGGTCCGTGATCGTAAATTCTTAAACAAGTATCTTTTCCATGCCTTTTTAAGGCATTCTTCGCAACAAAGCTATAAAGTCATCTTTTTTATATTTGTTTAAAGCTAGGTTATATAATTTTCTACCGTTTACCTTGAACTAACTCGGAATTTTCTATGAACTTCTACTATATTTCTATGTAGGGCGAAGCATTTTTTGCCCTACGCAGATTGCGCATGCGTGAGAAAATTCTAATTCCGGTCGATTTTTCATAGCAACGGACCGCGTCGTAAAAAGGTCTATAGAAAATTGAAATAAGCTGATAAAATGCGATTCAAGCCGTTTTTTTATGAGGTAACGCCAATGTACGTGAAATATGCTTCGCGGTAACGCCGGAAAATGTGATTTTTTCACATATGGTTCTGAATTATTACACAGGTTTAACACCTTTTATCGACGAATATAATCAAGTTATTTGCGGCCTAGTCAATGTATTTTCTTCGTTACTTATTAAGAAATATATGATAATTAGATCTTGATAAGCTTTCAACATTTTGACTGCATATTGTAACTTACTACAATTTAATTATTGTTTCCTGAAATAAATTATTTTTTGCAAACATGTTGCCCACGTCTGATATTGTTAGAAAATAAGAACAATAAACTGCCTTTGCAAATAAATTGAATATGAATATAAAAGAAAACATTCAAGAGAGGAAGTGTCTGTATATATTTAATAATGCACCAGTAAAGCTTGAAAGTCTCCATATGTCCTTTATTGTGTTGGCGTGATGTGAAACCCAACAAAAACAAATACTTGGCTGTTGCAATTTGCTACACTTCTGTGAAAATGGATTATTTAACTTATTTATTTTTTTCTCTTATATAAGGAAGTAACTTGTACTCAAAAATATTTTACTTAGAAACAATAATGCCCAAAACTTGTAAGTAAAATTATCTTATTCTCCTCTGCTAAAGTTAAATAAATTATAACCCTTGGGGTAAATATTTACCCTACTCTTGGATTTTTTGTTATATGTTAACTTTTTTGGCAAAAACATATGAATCTAAGAACATATGCTAGGTATTACTATAGACGTTTACAAAACTAACAGGAATTATGACCCTAAAAGAGGCCACGAGTACAGAGTCAGGTCACATCCATACAGTGACCAAGGTAGCTCATTTGTACAAATACATTAGCTATCTAATAGCAATCTCTCAAACATTGAATGAACTGTTCCATGTTCACAGTCGATCAAAACCCATTACATAAATTTAGTAGGTAAAGGTGAAATAGACTAAAGATAGGTTGAATATATTTTGGTTTGTCACACAATGTACATGTATATGGAAAGCTACTAGAGATGTGTTTGTGGGAAGATTTTACTTATCCATGCCACGAAGGTCTAAAAGTAAAAATCGAAATTATACGGTATAACAAGGTATAATATGCATTGTTATACTAATAAGAGTCGACAAAACATCTCGTTCAAAACGGTGGTCAAGCCATTATTTTCACGAATGATCTTGAAAAGTAAGCAATTTCGAGGAAATAATCTTGATGAGGGATAAAGAGTTGTCTTCGCAGCCGCATGCGGCTATTCCTTTTTTTCAGTTTGGTTAAATAAAAACACAATTCTGCGTTACTTATATCACGAATCGTGCGTTATTTTCACATTCCGGTGTTTCTGTTCTGTGCACAGGCCTAGTCACATAATCAAATATTTTTCATAATCGGCCTATATATGTACATATTAAAATATATCTTACTATAGTATTATAGCCCATATAAAACTTACAAAAAGTGTGTTTCAAGCACCTGTGGTTCTGTGTATGTGCGTCCGGATTTGTCCGGTCTATATTTTGCTTATTTTTTACAAATTGACGGCCTCGCGATTTTTTACATAATTGAAATTGTGAAATAGGCAAAACCATCATATAACCATTTATTTATTTTGCAAATAATTTTAACTGGTTTGTTAGAAGCGTTCAGTTTTTTACATTTATCCAGGTCACACCAGGGGAAGAATCTCACTTGTAAGTAATTTTACACAAATTTTGCTCAAGAAAATTTGCAAAAATATAATTAAAGAAATGTATTAGCATAGTTTCTTACATGCACATTAAAATACCGTCAACTATAAAAAGTTTTTTTCTGCATGGAAATAAAAATTTAAATTTAAAACATAAAAAACGAATAATTTTAACTCGATCGATTGTTGAGAGCATTCAGTTATTACATTTCGCAAAATATTATATGTAAATGAAATAAATAATAAGGATTTAACTGTTTGCGAAATGTAATATCTAAAACGGTACTGGAAAGTGCAAGTTACCGTCCACGCCCCCTAGCATCGGCTTAAGCAGAATTCAATATTTAACACGAAAATGGTGAAATTTTGAATTTAGAAACGATGAATGCTTCCGAGGCATCACTTAAATTTGTTACCAGAATTTAAAAATAATGTTTTTACCGTATATGGTTCTCATCCCGGTACAGAATTAGACCGAACCCGTTCCTAGAAAGTCACATCCGTGTTATTTTTGTGCCGTGTGGCGGCTGTAAAAAGTCTCCCCGTACATTTAATCAATGATGTTATATTTTCGATCCTTAAGATCGTTCAGCACGACATTATTGTTGTGTATACATGTTATGTGGTACTTTAAGTTTCTTCTATTTGGCAATTTTCAACTTGGGTGGTTCCAGTATTCCAACTCGAATACTGTATAATTAATCACCATTAGGATATGTTGCCTGCTTTTTAAATTTGTCTTTTGACGTCTTATCTGTGATATGCAGGCTTCATAACCTCAGATCCCCGTTCAAAATTACATTTTATTTAGTTCCGCCCATTGTTTTCTCGTTTAGGGCATAAGCATTCTTTTACTTGGGGACCATACGTCGCTTTTCATGGAATGGCACTACTGTGTCACATTGAAGGTTCCATGATAACCGCCGTATGAACACATCTGCGGATGTTTCTGACTTCAAAATTTTACCATTTTCGTGTTAAATGTTGAATTCTGCTTAAGCCGGTGCTAGGGGGCGTGGACGGTAACTTGCACTTACCAGTACCGTCCATGAACAGGCTCAATCAAACCGAGCCTGCAACATTTTCAATTCTGTTGTGTTGGACTTTCTTTGGGGATTCTGTTTTTCTCTATTTAGTTCTTAATTTTTGTTATATGGTGACTAAAAATTCTCTAGGACCTCATTTGTTGTCGGAATGATTAAAGATGTATTACCCAGGAGTTTTATAAGCGGCAAATTTAAACAGTGTTACAACAGAATGAAGATTTCTGAAAAAAGGAAATGGCTAATACATTATATTTCGGGCATCATTTGACTTAGATTGTGTTAATGTTTAAAGTTGAAGACTGTATATAATTCATCAATATCAGTGGAATCCAGAATTAAGCCTCAAATGTGACTGATTTACTATAGAACTAAGAGTACGAAAATTCACTGGGCCGAGACCATTTCTGCTTAAGACGTGTCCGCGTTTTAGTCATTTCCTCGCGTGTGAAGTCATGTGATTGAACAAAATGGACGACAAACAAAAACTTTTTAGAAGTATTTACTTGGCTCGGTTTCCATGTTTTCACGATCTCACATCTACGATACTGAGATCTTGTTGACTTTTTAAATAACTTCCTTTTTATATGCGATGATTTTTTATTGATGCCGCTGAAGTGTACTTAAATGATTGTCATGATTCATGTTTTCCTGGATATCTACATACAGGAAACAACAGTGGAGGATACTGATACAGTGAAAGATATATTTATTGAAATAGAGCCATTACAGTTCACAGTGAAAGATATATTTATTGTAATAAAGCCATTACAGTTCCAGGAGTAACATAGATTGTTAACAAAAATGAAACTTGCAATTCTTAAAGTTTTAGTGCTTTCAGCACTCTTTGTGATGACGTTTGTTCTAGGAATTATCCCAATTATTCTTGAAAAAATATTTCGTAGGAAAGCAAACACTGAAAGTCATAAAAATAGATACAAAACCATCCTTAGTTTTTTAAGCTGTTTTGCTGCGGGTGTATTTTTGGGGACGGGCGTGTTAGATTTGTTACCATCTGTTAGAGTTGATATTGGAACTACATTAAATAGCCTGAACGTGTTTACATCATTTCCAGTGGCTGAATTTGTGATGATGTTTGGATTATTTCTGATATTAATTGTTGAACAGATTGTTTTAACATTAAAAGAGAAACATGCTGAGGAGACGGATGATGAAAGAAGACCGCTCTTGGAACCGAAAGATATAAGAAGACACTATTCCCATTCTGTTGCTAGTGATCAATCAGTGATTGGTGGTATAAGTGACGAACCTTTTACGTCTAGTTTTCCAGGAACAGGTAGTAGACGTCATTGTGATAGTTGTGAAGAAAGAATAAGTAGGTCAAATTCTATTATGAATGAAGATGTTGCCCATCAGCGTGAAGAAGATGACATTTTACCTGAGCATGAGCACTCTTCATTAAGATCTATACTGCTGCTAACAGCTTTATCTCTGCATTCGATATTTGAAGGTTTAGCTGTTGGCTTACAAGACAAGGCTGATGATGTGATTGGAATTTTTGCAGCCCTTGTGATACATAATCTGTTCTAAGCTTTTGCCTCGGTATGAATCTCATTCAAAGTACTCTTTCTCATGCAGGGATGATACGTTCCATTGTATTCTTCTCACTGACAGCACCCCTTGGTATAGGAATTGGAATTGGTATAATTGATTTATGGGATTCAAAATCCTCTTTGCTTGTTCAAGGAATTCTCACTGGCATTGCTTGTGGAACTTTCTTATATGTGACATTTTTTGAAGTTCTACCATCAGAATTTAATACTCATGAACACAGACTACTTAAAGTTTTATTTTTGCTTTTAGGGTTTGCAACAGTAAGTGGTGTTTTATTCTTGCATAAAGATGATGGACCAACATGTTTTGTTGTACCTCCAGCAGCTGAGAAAAACTGATATATATGTAATGGTAATTGACTGCAGTGAGTCTTGATATCATATACCAATTACCATTGGTTAAACTATTGCATAAATTATGTCATATGATACCTAGCTAAATAGTTCAAGTTTTGATTTCAAATTACATTTAATGTTTACTTACAAATAATCTTTTCATTGCCAGAGATATAATTGTATCGGCATGTAGGCAAATAAATGGTATTGAAGGATGGGTATACTGGATCTTTTAGCCAGTAAAAGAGTTTATATGATGTATAAAATGTATATCACTGACTATATTAAGCAAGTAAAAATATTATATTACTAGGTACTTTGTTTTATGTATGGAATAAGAGACCATACCTCATGGAAACAATCTAGTCATTACATGAATTGATTAAAATGGCTTTTTAAAAAATTAGTCAAAAAATAATTCATATCATTGAGCATAAAATGAAGGCCAAGCTCAAAACTTACAACTCACAATTATTAAAATTAATAAGTAAAATAACTTGAAAACATATCACACATAAACCAGAATCTCATTTTGAGATAACACATCCATCAACAGCATATAAAGGGTTTTCCCCCTTTTTGTTGCTTTGGAAAAGGCAATTTATTGGGATTACTTTTGTCATCGGCTTCAGCATCCCCTTGTCAGGAGGATGAATTGGTCACTTTAAGTCGGATCGACTCCAAACCTGATATGCATGCTTCTTTCAAAGAAGAATCGTTACTTTTCAATTCTTGTTTTTTGAGTTACTGCCCTTTGTTAATTTTCATACTTTATTTTTGTCCTTGCCAATTCTGCAACAATTTAAAAGCTATTGACTTGAAACTTTATAGGATGGTGGTTCTCATTTAGAAGTGCAGTTGTACTCTAGCATTTCATGATTTTTGAGTTATTGCCCTTTGTTAATTTTCATACTTAATAGGCTTGTGCAGAGCATAACTTGGTCACTATAAGTTTGATTTACTCCAAATTTGGTATGCAAGCTTTTTTCATTGGCCTGAATTTGGAATGCACAGGAATCCATCACAGAGTCTTCCATTTGAATTTAAACTTTTCCATGGTATTTTTATTTTGATAATGAAACAGTTTTATTAATCCTGACATAGCATTGTGATTGTTACAATTAGTTCAACTTCAAATGCCATTAAAGTTAAAGGTACATGTGCATTGCACGAGGAGTGTTAAAAAAATGACCTATATTTAAGAAGAATTGTCTAACTGACAGCTATACTGTATACAAGGCGACGCATCCGACTCACAGAGTTCTTTTCTGATTTATTGTGTAATAGTTTCCCCTTAGGCCACAGTTTGTTTTGAAAGTTGAAAAAAAAATCACTTATGCTATTATTTTTTCAGGGCTCTTGCTTGACTCGGATATCCCGGTTTTTACTCACTGAGTTTTTTCACACTCAATAAAAATGTCAACAGGCTGTAAAACTCCCGTATAGTGTTTTACACACAGCATGTTTATAGCCTGTGCATTGGAACGTGACTTCAGCCACAGCAATTTGACGTAGGTAATTTTAACGATTTCGAGAACATAGCCAGCAGGTTAACTGGGAAAAAAATCTTGGCCATTAAAAATTGACTATTATTTCATTTTAAATTGTCAAAAATTGCTTCAAACATTTCTTTTTCTTATAAAAATCAACAATTTGTTGAACTTCCACGGATAACGGTATTTTGATACTTCTTCTAATGCCTATGTAAAAACTGGTTTGATTTCATGGCTAAAATTAGCCTGCTCGGGTAAACCTGAATTATAAAGAAGATGAAACATACAGTTGTCATCAAATCTACATAAAAGAAATATGTAGATTTGAACTTTAGTCAGATTGATACTGAGGTGTCAATTATTGATTAATTTTAAGCAACATTGTATGAATCTTTGATTAACTTAGTCAGAGTTTCTGTATTTCTGTATTTGTTATAAGTATACCTAGTATATTTTTCATGATTTGATTTTGGTAATAACATGATACAGTATATCAGTAAAGATAATTTTTATATTTTACACTTTAAATCAGAAAAGGTTATTTTATTCTCTCTGAGTAAAGGTGCAATTCAGTGTTGTTGTTTTTTCTTCTTTGTTTTGTTTCTTCTTATATATATATTGTATACAACTGTATATATGTATTTTTATTAAATTATAGTTCTATATAATTATATACTAAATATATCTAGGCATTTTGTCCATTTAAAACTTAAAAATTGTAAATTTTTAAAAATTCTTAAAATTTTTAAATTTAAAAATTTAAATTTCCGAAAAACAGTCATTTTTTGTAACATGAAATTTTTTTTAAGGAAAAAAAAAACTTTTTTTTGCCCTCAAAAAATTTTTTCCCAAAAAAGTTCATTGACTTTTTTTTGTGTTTTTTAAACCCTACTGAGACTTTTAATATTTTTTCTTTTTATAGATTTTTTTTAAAAAAAAGGTAGGGGTTATTTTTTTTTTACATTTAAATTTTTTTGGGCCCGTTGTTTTTTTAAGGCCGTTCCCCTTTTTTTCTGCAAGTGATCACCATAATGAGACGATGGTGCAGAGCGCAATAAATAGCAGTCTGTGCGAAAGTCCCGTCGGTCCTCGGTCCTGGCCGAATAAAAATCATGCGGTCCCGAGATAAATTTCCTTTCCGTCAGTCCTCATGTCCGAATAAAATTTTCAAAAAAGTTTAAAAATATTAATTACCTGATTGATAACAAGTACCCCGTGATGCAAAGAATTTATTAAAAGATATTGACCAACTTTAACTCTATTTTGTAGATGTCAAATAAATACAGTCAACTCAGCTCTGTCTTCAAAAAGTTTCATCAACAACGGTAAAATTTTGCCGTAAAATACAAATTTGAAAATTTTGTTTTACGATGCCTGTTGAAATAGCCGATGAGTAACAATCTTAAAATAATGAAGAAAATTAAATTTAAATATACTCGAAATCAACAACAAGTAGATTTGTGAATGTTTCTGCAGGAAACAGACAAATTTTCAATTGTCACATATTTTTCGCGATGCCGCTTTTTTATAATTAAAAAAATCGTAACCAAAAGGAAGATATGTTTTGTTAAAAATGTGTGTCATAAAAACACTTAAAATGTAGTTTAGGAATTAAAATTTTACTAAAGATATTGTTTAACTTTAGTTGAAATGGAGGTATTTTACCTGTTAGTGTTTGTCACATACAATGAATATTTTTCTTATGGGGGGGGGGGGGGGGGGGGGGGGGGGGGGAGTGAATCTGGAAGAAAAGAGCATAACGGTCTGATGATGTAGGGTTTTTGAAATTATATTTCAAATCTTTTCAATCACTTTTATGGTACAGTGTTGGGACATATTACCATTTTCCTGAAATAAGCTTTTTCTCTGTTCAAACTCCCAACTCCCCAACCCCTTACTCTGCTCATATACATCATAATCGTCAACTGCATAAGTGCAGCAAAGATGGCTTAACATATTCAAAGTGATCTGGAACTCCTACATTTTTGTGCTTGAGAGTCCCAGGACTCCTACTTTGAAAATTCTAGTGGGAACCCTACTTAAGTTATTTCATATGGTCAGCATCTTCTTGTGTTTCTATATGATGGTCACACTAATGATAGTCACACTTATTTAAAGAAAGACGATCATTTTTACATTAAACTGAGTTATTTTTATAAAATAATGCTTGAAATGTCTGGGCCGGAAAAATATCATCCGGGCCGGAAATAAACCTAAGGGTCTCGGTCCTTGTGGCCTGAAAAAAATATTGACTTTCGCATAGACTGTAATAGGGTTGCTATCCCAAGGTCAAGGTCACACTTAAAGGTCATATGTTAAAAAGTCTTCATTTCATAATAAAAAGTCTACATTTCATGTCTGCTCCATAACTTTTTAACTGCTGAAAATTTTTAATACTTTGGCACAAGTGATCACCATTATGAGACGATGTGCAGAGGGCAATAATTGAAAAGCTACCCCCAAGGTCAAGGTCACACTTACAGGTCAAATGTTATAAAGTCTACATTTCGTGTCTGTCCATAACATTTAAACTGCGGCAATATTTTTAAGATAACTTGGCAGAAATGATCACCATTATGACACCATTGGAAGAGCACAATAATCAAGTCACAACCCAGAAGTTCAGTGTCACACTCAAAGTTTCAATATAAAAACATTTATTTTTCATGTCCTCTCTATAACTTATTGACAATTCAAAGGTTTTAAAATTACTTGGCACAAATGATCCCCACCATGACACAATCTGCAGAGCTCAATATCCAGGTTGCTACCCCAAGGCCAAGGTTATAAGTTCTCCATAACTTTTTGACCTTATGGAAGGTTTTAAATAACTTGACACAAACAATCACCATCGTGAGACTATGTGCTTTAATGATATGCATGGCTATTGGCACTAAATCAAGGTCATGGTTGGTAAAAGGTCAATAAGTACACTCATTCATGTTCACTGCGGAAGGGGATTTAGCTGTCCTTCAGACTGCCTTCTTATTTTTGAATGGATTGTCTTCAAACTTGAACATGATAATATTTTAAGATAGACCTTCAAGTCGACCAGACATACTTTGACCTTCACTCATGAATGACCTTGACCTTCAAGGTCAAATGTCCCAATTTTGCTAGTTTCTTGCTTTTAGTGCCTATAACTTTGTTATTTTTGAAGAAATTGTTTTAAAACTTGAACATAGAATAATCTTAAAGGATAGCCCTTTAAGTTAACCAGATAGACCTTGACCTTTACTCATATATGACCTTGACCTTGAAGGTCAAATTAAAGAAATTTTCATTTTTTTTTTGCTGTAGCTGGCTGTAACTTTGTTATTATGTCTCCAAAATTTTTAGGAGACATATTGTTTTGCCTTTGCCTTCTGTCTGTCCACTCGAACAGGACAGTAATAATATGGCTAGAGGGACAATAGGTAACTGTTCTTTCTCTTTGATGTCATTCATTCTGTAATGTGGCTATTTTCTTTTGTGTGGCTAGCCGCTAAAAAGAACAATAGAGTAGCTACATTATTATTATCACGTTTGAATGACCGTCTGTCCGTCCGTTTGGTTGTCTGTCCATCCTCATTAAGCTTGTATAGCCTTCACAGGTCAAACTACTAGTTGGATTTCATTCAACCAATCTTTACAGGAGTGTTATGTCACAAAATGGCCACCAGAGCTATAAAAAGAAAAATCTTGTCCAGCCATCACAGGTCAAACTTCTGGTGGGATTTCAACCAAACTTTACAGGAGTGATCAGTACCATTCCTAATTGGCATGTTCTACTTCGCTGCTAAAAATGGCCGCCACAGCTAAAAATAGAAAATCTTGTCTGCCTTTCACAGGTCAAACTACTGGTGGGATTTCAACCAAACTTTACACAAGTGATCAATACTATCCCTAGTTGTACACATTACCAGCACGTTCCACTTCGCTGCATAAATGTCCGCCAGAGCTAAAAAATAGAAAAATATTTCCAGCCTTCACGGGTCAAACTAATGGTGGGATTTCAACCAAACTTTACAGAAGTGATCAGTACCATCCCTAGTTGTGCATGTTGCTGGCATGTTCCGCTTCGCTGCACAAAATGGCCACCAGAGTTAAAAAAACAAGAGGGCCATGATGGTCCTGAGGTCGCTCACCTGTATATAGGCCAGTTTAAACCCCAGGGCTTTTATTTGAACAAACTTGGAAGACACCAATTAGAAGATGTTTCATGATGTTAAGTTTTTACTACACACATATAATGAAAAACAATGACTATACACATATAGTTAAAAACAATGACACCTCTGGGGCGGGGCCAATTTTGACCCCAGGGCTTTTATTTGAACAAACTTTGTAGACACTCACTAGAAGATGTTTCATGCTTAATATCTAAACTCTAGCTATTTGGGTTTTTTCAAAGAAGATTTTTTAAGTTTTTGCTATACACACATAAGGAAAATCAATGACCCCCCGGGCGGGGCCAATTTTGACCCCAGGGCTTGTATTTGAACAAACTTTGTAGACACCCATTAGAACATTTTTCATGCTAAATATCTTAGCTCTAGCTCTTTGGGTTCTGCAAAAGAAGATTTTTTAAGATTTTACTATATGCATAAAGGGAAAATCAATGACCCCCTGGGGCGGGGCCAATTTTGACCCCAGGGCTTTTATTTGAACAAACTTGGTAGACACTCATTAGAAGATGTTTCATGCTAAATATCTTAGCTCTAGCTCTTTGGGTTCTTTAAAAGAAGATTTTTTAAGTTTTTACTATATGCATAAAGGGAAAATCAATGACCCCCTGGGGCGGGGCCAATTTTGACCCCAGGGCTTTTATTTGAACAAACTTGGTAGACACTCATTAGAAGATGTTTCATGCTAAATATCTTAGCTCTAGCTCTTTGGGTTCTTTAAAAGAAGATTTTTTAAGTTTTTACTATATACATATAGGGAAAATCAATGACCCCCTGGGGCGGGGCCAATTTTGACCCCAGGGCTTTTATTTGAACAAACTTGGTAGACACTCACTAGAAGATGTTTCATGCCAAATATCTAAGCTGTAGCTCTTTTGGTTTTTAGCTCACCTGTCACAAAGTGACAGGGTGAGCTTTTGTGATCGCTTTTCTTCCGGCGTCCGTCCGTCCGTCCGTCCGTCGTCCGTAAACTTTTACTTTAAATGACATCTCCTCATAAACCACTTGGCCAATTTCATCCAAACTTCACAGGAATGTTCCTTTGGTGGTCACCT